CACACCCACACCCACACCCACACCCACACCCACACCCACACCCACACTCGCACCCACACCCACACCCACACCCATACCCATACCCATACCCATACCCATACCCATACCCACACCCATACCCATACCCACACCCATACACATACCCAACCCACACCCATCCACACCCACATCCACACCCACACCTTCAAGTATCTTTCTTTTTTTCATATTATTCTCGCAGGTCAATCTTTCTCGCTCTTTGTCTCTATCACTGGTGAGAGAAAAAGTTTATCAGATAAATAAAGTGATAAAGTAGTGCAGTGTGGACACACCACGGAATGTCATTACATTAAAACATCCAATGTTTTGTTTTACTTTATTTTTGTGCATGAAAAAGGTAGGACCATTCTTTTTTATTTGTCAACGACTCGCATTGCAACATACTAGAAAACATCCGATAATTATTACCAACAGATATACGACTGAATCAGAGTTTACAAGAAGAATTCATTGATGTAGCCATTCTTGACGAAGAATCCAACAGTTTTAAACGTAAATGGAGAAAAAAGAAGACTCGAGGACTTCCATTTTTTAGTCTATGACATTATGTATAGTTTTATCTCAGTAGAATTTCACCTAAGAACTAATTAATTCCTTTAGAAAAGATTGATCACCCTCTTCTGATTAAAATTTATTTCACCATCTATGCTTAGAAGCAATGTCTTTCAAATAGCCCATTATGAAGATAGAAGTGTCTTTAGTAATTTTAGAAATAAACAGTTAAATTTTTCTTCCTTTTGGTAGTTTCTTTTGTGTTGTGAAGATATATGGCTCTGACTTCGTACTTCTATTTCTGGTTGCTGATAGTAGGGCTTGTACATGCGAAAGTCTCCATACAAGGTATCAGTTTTTTCTTTTGAATATTCATCGAACAATACACTGCTTTGTAGTTGAAGAGTCCCCACTTCGATTATTCTTTCGGCACATTGATTTAAATGGCAACGATGAAATTGATGTAAATGAATTGCAACATTTTTTCCATGACATCGAACCAGAAGATCCCATTGTGGATCCTAAACATTTGATCCGTACTATGAAACGTGTCATGAAGCAAGTAATAGAGAATGAAGAACAGTCTTTCACTATTTCTTGGCAACAATTTCGAAAAAACTACGCAGAGCTTGATTCTCTCACAGAGAATGGTCTACCACAGGTTTGTCTTTGCTACCTGACTTTTGTTGAATAGTCTCTCTTGCTCTTAGCAAATTCATCTATCATTACTTGCCGATGGCAGTTGGTCTAATATGATTGTCGTTTGGATCGTCAAGGATAGTGAGAAAGAACATCAACCGCCTTCGTTCGTACGATATGGAAATGTTAGCGGTAGCTATGTCTATGAACAGGCGGCAAAAAACAGGACTTATAATGTGGGTATTGAAGGATGGAAGGGAACGATCTATGAAGCTTGGATGACCAATTTAAATCAATGTCAGACATATTATTACAAGGTTGGAAATTCTAAAGCATGGTCAAGAGAAATCAGTTTTAAAACAGATTGTCCTACCATCACGAAACATACATTCGCTGTCATGGGTGATATGGGTACTGTCATTCCGGCTGGTTTTCTTGTAGCTAAACAGATCAAAGAAGATCATAAAGTCACGCCATTTTCGGTTGTTGTGCATGCGGGTGATATCAGTTATGCTGGTACAGGTGCACATGATGAGATTTCCGTGAGTCTAGATGAATGGCAAATAATCTCTATTATTTCTTTCTCTCGTCATTCTAGGAAGTTTGGGACTTATGGGGAGCGCAAGTAGAGCCTATCTCATCTATAGTACCATACATGACAAATGTAGGCAATCATGAAGCCTATTACAATTTTACAGTCTATCGGAATCGATTCCGTATGCCAGGTCCTGAAAGTGGTGGTCTCGACAATTTCTGGTTTAGCTTCAATACTGGACCCATTCATTGGGTCTCGATGAGCTCACAGGTTGGTAGTCTATCATTGTTCTTGAGTCAGAAGTTTGAACCATCATTGTTCTATTTTTAAAATCATGGCATTTCTATTTCCTATGATGCAACGCATTGTTATGTACTTAGGGTATTTTATTCTTTTGAAAAGAGAACTCACAGCTCATTCGCTCACTCTTTTGACAATTAGTATCTTTTCTCTATATTTAAGCATGATTATTCTAAAGATGGTCCTCAATATGCATGGTTGGTCAATGATCTCGAGAGGGCAGCTCTGAACCGAATGCAACAACCGTTCATTATTGTGGTCACTCATCGACCCTTATTGTGTTCAGATGCGAATGAACTAGAGTATGTTTATTTCTTTATCAACAGATGCCCTTTCTTATGCATTATTTCATTTCAGTCAACATTTGCCTAATTCACCTCTGTTTGAAACAGTCTATCCTCTCTTTGTTAAATATCAAGTCCAGTTGGTTATTACGGGCCACATGCATGTATACGAGCGAGTATTCTACGATAATACAACAACAATCGTGAATAATACGTATACGAATGTACACTCGCCAGTAATTGTTGTACAAGGCACTGGTGGGGCATTGGACAAAGACACATGGATAGAGCCGCAACCATGGTGGAGCAAATCACGCATGATTGCCTATGGGTATGGTCGTTTGACTGTCTCCAAGGAACAAACACAGTGGCGATTATATTATGAATATTTGCTCGAACACGACAGAAGCACTTATGATCAGTTTTCGATTGTGATTTAATATAAAATGTATTCAATACATGACACACATAAATCTGTCAAAAGTAGTTTATGATCTCATGCTCGGACATAGATGTACAATAGTAGTCATTAATAAATAACATAGAAAACTCTCAACAAGTACTCAATAAGAAATTTAAAAATATCGGAAAAGCAGGAAATAAAAGAAATTAAAAAAAACGCAATTGTAGGAATCAAAAAAGAATCTTGAATGCTTTACAGACTGTAATAGTCAGACAGCGTACAAATACATTCGATATTTGCTGTTGAACACTCATTAGAAGAAAGTAATCAAGTAGGAAAATCGTACAAAAACGAATAATACACGTTTCTTTTTCTTGCCAAAAAATTCCTTCAAGAAGACTATCAGCACTGATTGTATTTCAATCGAACAATAACTTGAGCGAAGAAAATTTCTGTTGAAGAAAAACAATTTTTACAGGTTCTTCTTTTTGCACTTCTTTTTCATCTTCAGCATTTACTGACAGAAAATAACTTTCTTCTTCTTGAGACAAATACTGTTGATTTGATATTGAGCTGTTTGAGAATTAAATCTCCATTATATCATCCCGACCAGAGCCGCTAACAGGCCACTTTTTCAGGCTGGTCTGGTCTGCCTGGCAGGCCAGGCTAAATTTCGAAAGTCAGCCTGCAGCCTGGCTTGGCCTGGTCTGCAGGCCAAACCAGACGAACTAATGTTTCAGACTTTTTATTATTATGAAATTTACAAATTAGCATTGATCCATTATATACGTTTCAAGTTGTGAGCCGACTTGTTTTCATGAGAGCAATAGAATGTAGTATACCAATTCTCGACTAAGAGCATTCATGAATCAATTTTTAGATCGGTCTAATGAAAATCTTTGACATATGAATATGGGCCTGAGTTCTGAAATGAAATACTTTCAAACATGTAGTCAATCAAGTAGATGTTGGCATTTAGGAATTTATGTAGAGATATTTGAATTTTTTTGGAATAAAGTTATAACTACGTAGATATGAAAAGTATCGATTATCTTGAATACTTGCTGATATGCAAGGCATCTTCAATCTCATATACGTACGAATGAGAACTTCTCAACATTAGCTTAAAACCTACTAATCTTACGGTTTGATGACTTTTATTCACACGATAATTTTTCGAGTGGACAGGACTTAATTCTCCATCATTTTCATTAAACAAAACTCTGAATTCGATTCTATTTTACACCAGCTCTTCGAACCATGAAACTCTTTAACCGAGTAACGCGATCGTTCTTAGTATATGATTGAATAAGTAAGAAGAATTTTAAATAGTTTTGGCACAAAAATTGCTAGAAATAATTGAAGCTATGTATCATCAGAAGAGAAAAGTCAAAAAGAAATCGAAAAATTCTAAATGTCCGAGAACTGAAAGTTAATAGTAACAAGCACGGTCAAAAAACCTTATAAAACGTATAAAAACATTGATTTGACTTGATGATCAACAGAAAATATCAGAGGCAATCATCATCGACTCGTTAAGTCGTCTTATTGTTAGAAGTAAATACTGTAAAAGTTAGTATTAAATCATACCCAGACTAAGAACTTTAGTCTGGCCGGGCTTGCAGGCCAGGTCAAAAATTTTCTAGCCTAATCCAGCCTGGCCTGCTGCCTAGCAGGCGTCTGGCAGGCAGCAGGCCAGGCTAGCAGCTCTGATTGTGACACCTTTCGAAGTTTTGACTATTCGACAATCATATCTTTTGTGAAACACGATCTGAAAGGAGTGTTGAAGTGTTTAGGGGTAGAAATTTGGACCCCTCCTTCTCCCTCCCCCCACAGACCGTGACAAACACTCACGTGACCCATCACAGACCGTGACAGACACTCACGTGACCCATCACAGACCGTGATAGACACTCACGTGACCCATCACAGACCGTGACAGACAGGTTTTGGACCCGTCACAGACGGGTGTAGGTGTGGGTGTGGGTGTGGGTGTGGGTGTAAGGTGTGTGGGTGGGTGGGTGTGGGTGTGGGTTAGACATCGGCGTGACCAATATTTTTTGGTCACGGTCACGTCACGGTCACGATCAGTTTGGTCACGGTTACGGTCACTGTCACGATCGTTGCCATCGTGACCGTGACCCTGAGTCACGGTAGTCACGCCAGTCTCTATACAAACTACTATTTTCTTTTTCTCAAAATAGCATACCCTTCTCTTCTGATAGGAGGTCCCTATATTAGAAGGCTTTCCATAATAGAAGACTCCCTTGGAGAAAATATATGCAAGACTTAGTATAAGACCTCATTCAATTATCGAATTTTCCGAAAAAGGACAACTTCAACTACCGGATTTACCCCATAATGTGCTTAGTTTTCAGAGTTTTGAGCTGAAAACCTTAACTAAGTGTTTTCAACATTTTATGTAGGCTTTTAAAATCCGAAAAATTCCTTCTCAAAGCATCAAAATCGCTTTGGCTTTCTGAACAATCTTTTTCGTTGAAATCTGTAAAAACAAAAGAGACACAACACAAGACCCTCTGGAAAAGTTTTGCGATTCGAGACAATAGAAAATCTCGAATCTCCTCGTGCGGAGCGGTGAAAGGTAATATAACAGATAAATGAAAAGGATTAGGTATGAAAAAATTGATGAATTTGTTTTTGAGAAAATATCTTAAAGTTCTTGAAAGTTTATTTGGCGAAAGCCTGACTAGAAATGAGCGAAATCAGAACAAGTGGAGAAATGATCAATCATCGAATAAGTCATCTGATAAAAGTCAAAAAAGTCGAAAATATATGAAAATGACGTAATTTTTGGTCAAGGAGGTCATAATATTTTTTAATGGTACATTTTTTTCTAAAGTATTTCTATGCGAACTGTTTAAAATATATTAATACTGAGTATATTTTTTCTGGTACTGCGATTGTATTGATTCTATTCCTTCGTTTTGAGTTAGCATAATTAGAAAGGGATATTGATACATATTGAAAGAATACTAAATATAATATTTAATTCTCTATTAAATTTGAAAATAACTGCTTTATAGTTACATTGAAAATTTATCGTGACTGATCGTGACCAGGTTTTGGTCACGGTCACCCCACGGTCACGACTTTTTTTCGAAAAGTGCCCACGATCGTGACTCACGGCAGTCACGGCGGTCACGCCGATGTCTAGTGTGGGTGTGGAGTGTGGGTGTGGGTGTGGATGTGGGTGTGGGTGTGGGTGTAGGGTGGGTGTGGGTGTGTGGGTGTGTGGGTGTGGGTGGGTGTGGGTGTGTGGGTGTGTAGGTGTGGGTGGGTGTGGGTGTGGGTGTAGGTGTGGGTATGGGTATGAGTGTGGGTGTAGATGTGGGTGTG